GTGTGCCTTGGCAGTGTAAAAAAGAACACAATGGTGCTCTAGGAGGAGATTCAGGTGATAAGGTGTCATTTTCAGACAGGTTTGTATATAAATGGATCAGGACAAAAAGGGAGAGAATATTTTTTCCTGAAACTTTCAGAATCTCTTTACACAGAGGGGACACATGTTGAGGTGTACAAGACAATTAAAAGTGGATTTTGCATAATAGGTGACCTTTAAACAAAAAAAAGCAAATCTATCTTTAATCTACTGAAGAAATAGTAACTAAACTTTTAAGTTCATGATAAGAATGAAGAATGTTGGACAGTCATGTTACATATATGACCACTCCATGCTAGGTATATTGTCTCTTTTTTATGTATTTTAAAAATGGGGTAGGTAATTTTGGAGAAACCAGCTTGAGTGCGCTAGAATTTGAAAATACACAGCCGGAAAAGATCTGCCACTTCCTTCCAGAGCCCCTCCTCCAACACACACAAACGCGTACATGCTCAATGAGGGCACGAGATAAGTTTGTGCACAGATGGAAGGCAGGTAGGTAGGCAGGTAGGCCATCCAGTTATTATTTTTACAGTACTACGGCTTCCACAGATGACATTATGTTATGGATTTTTTGTCAAAGCACTTAAGATATTCATTGCTATCGGGATGTTAAGAGCATTCCATGGAATATAACAAAAAGTGTATCTCGAGCCGGTTTCTCAAACTTACCTACCCCACCTTTAAGGTTTAAAGTTAAGAATACCAACCTTGCCACCAATTGCTACGGGCCTGTCAAAGATGCCGTGCATGCCTAAAATGGCAGACTGTGGTGGATTAATTATGGGTGTGCCGAACATGGACCCAAACACGCCGCCGTTGCTGATGGTGAAGGTTCCTCCGTCCATGTCCTCCACAGCCAGCTCATTCTTACGGGCCTACGAACACACGCCAACAATAAGGATGGATCAAATGCTGAGGAAATCTCCAAATGAAAACCTGTGAACTGTAAAAGAAATGTCCGAAAAATGTGTCATAATATAATATAAAACCTCACCTTTTCTCCCAACATATTGATGGCCTTCTCGATGTCAGTAAAATTCATTCCCTCCACGTTTCGGATTACAGGAACCACCAGACCCTGAGAGAGAAGTTATATGACTCAATTTTCTGCTCTTCACATTAGAGTCAAGTGAAGCACTTACACTCAGCATTACAGTAAAAGGCACTTGTCTCACCTTTGGCGTGGCCACGGCAACACTGATGTCCACGTAATCCCTGTACACAATCTCTTTGGTTGTGTCATCAATGACTGAAAACACAGAGGAATTGGTTAACATTGTAGACAAAAGAAATATGAATTCATGTTAAAAGTGCTAATCATCAATACAATTTACACCAACGTTCAGGGCTGCATGATTTACATAATGAAAAATACATATTGCATAAATGTTGACTTATACTGTAATTGCAATATAATTAGCAATATTTGAGGGAATCATTGTTTTAACGTTATTCACATAATCTAAGAAAATATATTAAAATGGTGTGATTTTGTAGAGGATCTGTAGTCAACATGGATTTGTATTACATCTGTACAATACTCTTTGTAGGCTGGGACTAGCTCCACAATACTTCTGCCTTTACCAAGTATTGAACTTACTGCGATTTGGATATTGCACAAGTCAATATTGCAATTTTGATTACATTTCCATTTCTTGTGCAGCCCTCCTGAAGGTAATTTCCTTTTAATGGGTGCCATGTTCTGTTACATGCAAGTAAAAAGCCACAGACTTTTTCAGATTGGTAAAAGCCAGCCTCAGTGACCCCCTCTCTCCTTCATTGTGGTCTATCTAAATAGGTCAGGGCAGTAAATAAGTGAGTGTTGGGTTTGAGGTTTGCAAGAGAAATCTACTGAAGCTTAAATCGTTTTCTTCCTTTCATCCTCTCTCAGTGACTTGTATTCTATCCATACGTGCAAAGACGCAGCCAAGCTGTCACCGCAGGGTGAGGTTTCACTGTCGTTTAAGGTTAGATACATACCGCCGTTGACAGAAGGTTGGTCAGCCAGAGCGTAGGAAGCAGCCTTCACAAACGCAGACATGAAGCCCAACTTGATGTTGTGCTTTTTCAGGTACGCATCTTTGTACGTCTTCCTCATCTCTGAGATGTTGCTGCAGGGAAATAGACAAAAAAAAATGCAAAGATCAATTAACTAGTTGTTACAAAGGCAACAAGCAGGGCTGAAGCAGAAAATGAAGCCCTTCAATGTGAAATGTGTTAAAAGAATGACTAAAACATTTTTTATTACAAAAACCCCCCAACAATGTGATCTTTAACATCCCCTTCATATTTTAGCAAATTGTGTTCATTTCTGAGAACTGATGGGCGGACTGGCTTCAGGAAGGGTTCGCACTCAGGTTATGAAAATAAGTCGGTTACTTCCTTGTTGCCGAGTTTACAACAAACAGCAGCAATTAATGAATGATGTGAATTTTTCGAAAAACTAAAGTATAAGCTAATATAAGACAATCTTTTCCCAAATACTGTAACAGCAAAAACAATGTCACAATCTAAAAAAACAAACAATGCCTTTTTGTGGCTATAAAAAAAATGCTGTTGCAGATAGTGGTGAATTAAAGCTATTGAAATTGGCCCTCTAATCGTTTCATCATTGCTCATTTTTCTCGTGTATCTCTCTTTTTAATTGTTTGTTTTCCTGTCTCTAACCCTGTTGAAGCTCTAGGGTTTCTCCGCTAACATAATTAGCCCCTCCCAAGACACAGACTCTCCGAGAAAGGAGAGAAGAAGCGATAAAAATCTTCACTTTCTAGGGCCTGTAAATCTTATTGGGCTGTCATAAAAGCCCATATCGGTTGAGGCCGCTCTTCCACTCAGAGCGCAGGTCTCTGTGGGCCCCTACAGATGCTCCAGCCTCCTGCTCTGACTAGCTCCTTCGGCTCCAGATGAGCCCTAGCATGGGAAGTCTTCCTCCAGACCGTCAATGTCAATCTAATTAGGATACATAGAAAACCCTGAATAGCTGAAAGCTGACACCGCACATTTGTGGGGAAAAGAAATCCTCAAAGTGTCCTCTTCAGCACAGGGGGCAAGTGCAGACAATAACATTTCCTTGTAAATTAATAAAACCGGTTTTAACAATTCTTATCTTCGTTTTAGATGGCATTACGACCAAATATTTACATTCCAGCGTTTAAGAGGATATCGGGTTTCAAAAAGCTTTTCCTATTGGGCAGATTCCAATCTATAACCATTTGTGCAAGTGTTGTTTTGGCTTTTAACAGGCAGTGTGTATCCTGTGTACTGCACACAGGCACACTCACAAACATGCTCATTTATAAGCAGATTTGGACACTTGTCTTTTTCCCTCAATGGCTTCAGTTTTCATGTTAACACAGGAAAACATTTCTAAAAAAACGCTGATGGGTTTATAATGTAGGTCAACTAATAGAGTTTCCTACCTCATGTCGACCTCATTAAACGTAGTCAACATAGCGCAGGTGTTTTGGGCTTCCTTCAGTCTCTGGGCAATTCTCAGCCGCATGCGGTTCATCTTAACCTAAAACAAAACATTTCAAATTCAGTTCTCAACTCTTGCACTACTATACAGATCCATTTCACAAACTATACCATCAGATACCGCTTCATGTTATTTAGGTGTTTGTAGAGATCTTTGCACTTTACCCTGGTCTCTGTCCTGGCTCCTTTAGTCGCCCCCTCAGCCTGAGCCGCCGGTGCAGCAGGAGCAGTGGGCTTGATGGCTGAAACTGTGAGAAAGACAGAAATACGCCTTTAGTATCTCCAGACATTGGGTTTAGTGGCACTGGTGAAAGCCACTGCCGACGATGAGTAATCAAGTAAGCTAGAGGTCAAGAGCACAGATGTCAAGTAAAACTGTTCTCACATGACACGGACCGTCTGTCTCATGACGACTAACCTGGTTTGGTGTCCATAGCATGTGCTGGCACAGGTGGCACAGGGGGCATAGTGGTGGGAATGGGGCCCACAGCTGAGGGGGGAGGAGGGGGGGCAGCAGAAGGTGGTGGAGGGGTGGCGGCGGCCGGGGCCTCAGCTTTTGGGGCTTCTGCAGCTTTGGGAGGACCAGCTAAAGACAGAAGCGAACCGTTTGAGACAGACTTTACATTTTTGTCTTGATAATATTTTTTATATCAGCACCGTGTACTTTTTAAAATAAAATGACAATACACGGACCTCCTTTTCGAAGCGTGAAGAGTGCATTTCCTCCCTCGACTTTCCCTCCATCAGGGACCAAAAGCTCCAGGATCACCCCAGCAGCAGGAGAGGGAACCTGCACTGATGTCTAATGGGAGGGGAACACATAAAAGAGATCATCATAGGTTTAAATAAGACATGGAAAAGTTCTATACATTTTCAAAATAGCCTACATTTGTTGCCAAAATAATGACCGTATGGTTTTATTCTCGCGTAAATTCTCATATTCAGTCAGGAGAAAAATCAAACACTTTAGAAATAATCTCCAACAAACATGATTTTGTATTTGTTATTTTGGGGGAAAAAATTACGTGCCCCAATACTTTCACTATTTATGTGCCAAAACAATGATGGCCTTTACATTTGAAGGTGTAACCGAACAATCAAAAATTCATAAAACATTTACTTAGTTTACCTTATCAGTCTCGATTTCACACACCACCTCATCCTCGGCAACGGTGTCTCCAACAGCTGTAAGAAGCAGGCTCTATTTTAGGAACAGAGTGCAGATTGACTAACTTTTGTTTAGTTAGTCTATGTATCCATCCAGTATCTGTTCCTATTATTCTTTACAGTGTGAGAATCTATTCATGTGTGCAAATCAAATTAAAATAAAGTTACCTTTTTCCCATCTTACGTCTCCCTCTGTGACAGATTCAGCAAATGCAGGAGTATTGACTGTGACAACTTCCTCTCCTATAGAACAAAAACAAGTCATAGGAGATGCATTTATTTACTCCTCACATCAGTAGTAGTGATTCAGATAAGTGCATGAATAAAAAGCATTTGGCTCGAAACATACTGTGGGCTACAGACGTCCTGAAGTACTGGATTTGGAAGACGCTGGAACGAGGATCAGATTTTCTGGAGAGAAACAAAATAAATGAATTCAAAATTATATTGATTAATAGCAATTCCCAAAACTAAACAATTTGTTTGACTTGGAAACATCTACAGTGAGAATGTTTTACTTAAATTCTGTCAGTAAATGTACTTGTGTTACTTACACATTGTTGTTCAGAGTGATAGAATGGCTAGCTGATAGAGCTGTAAGAGAATGGACAAGGAGAAGTGTTATTAACTTCTTGCAGCAGGACTATCCAAAATCAAAGATTGGCATTTAAGACATATCGCTTGAACAGTAACCAAACATACCTGCCGTGGCCCGACGTGCAAGTCCATTATTCCCCTGTGACAAAACACAGTTAGGATTTAAAAAACATTTGCAACTTTTTTAGATGAGATTGTGCAGAAAATACAACTCAACAATGTTTGGAACATTGAAACACTGACATCAAGGTCAATATCTTGCCCCTTATGTCTAACAGTGATAACAGTTGAGATTCAACAAAGGATTCAACCTAAGCAAGATAAGTCAGTGCTGTCGGTCAAAGGTTATTGCTACGCGTTAGACATGACCTTTGACACAATCAATACATTTGAGGCAAACAGGTAGCTTTGTGGTATTGCATAAGAACTGCAGCACCAAATGAATAAACATGTTAACAGGCTACTTGAACAGTTGCCTTAAAGCCTAATGTTATACTACTTATCTTACTGACAAGCTGACATACACTTAGCAGGACTTTCTGACATTTGACTTTGCTTACATGCAGCGACAGAAAGCTAAATCAAAGGAATAAACCATTAACACAACACTTAATAAAGTTAACTAAAAGGGGCGTGGTTTTCTCTCAATAATCACACTATGACCTCAGCATGATAGCTAGGACCTAGCTAACCTACCCGTGTATTTAGCTTAGCGCGGCTAGCATTTTCTTACTAGCTACCAAAACAATATTGGATAACTTGTGTAACTAAAGATGGACACTTTACTCTCTGTGTAACACCTTTAACATTAATGTGAATTCGAGACAAATACAACACAGAGGACACTGCTTAACACTTTAATACAGACTACGATACAGAGTTGTGCAGGGAAGTGTCAAACTGTCCTTGGCTTACAATGTTACAGCATGACCGTGGCCTGCAGCTAATGTATGCTAGCTCTGAACACACTACAGAGACAGCGAGGAGTCCTGCCCAGAGAGGCAACGACAACAGGTTACTTGCGTGTTGCCTACCTGGCGGATGGCAGAAAGGGAACGGCCAAAATTCCTGGTGAGACACCGGGAATGGGATAACATAATGGCTGTGTGACAGCAGCCTGTCAGCGGAAGGGAACTCCGGTAACACGGACAAGTCGGACGCGCAAAAAAGCGAGGAAGTGGTGAGGGATAAACCAAGTGCTCCGAGAGGGGGGCAGGCTGGAGTCTAGTGGTCCCCTCTGACCCTCACTGTGGGCCTGTCTGGGCTGGGAACATATATTTTCTATTATAGTCTCTATATTTACGTTGTTACATGTAGGCTGTCTGTAAAGGTAGTTGTAAGGGTACCGTATTTACACTTATACTGTGTATCTACAAAGTGTAAATACGGTTTATAGACAGCCTACATGTAACAACGTAAATATAGACTATAATAGAAAATATATATGATAATATTTAAATGATATAGGACATTGCATACGGGTAAGTATAAGAAAAAATGTGATTTTATAGAATAGAATAGCGAAAAGTTAAGGTAAGTCTAGAGGGTTATGATTTTTATTAGCATAATGTATCTAATTTCAAGTGTATACTTTGTTTTCACTTATTTATTCTTTGAGTTTACGACTGCTTTGTTTGTTTTTCGTAAATGCATGGTCCAAAATTTGCCCTTTTGAGATAAATACAATTATTGAGAGATTAAAGGATAGCAATAGAGAAGTCTTTTATTTATTTAAGTTGGCCAACATCTACATTTTCCAGTCATAGATGAATATTTAAACTTTTTCCCTATGAATACTTGTGCATATTTCCAAATTGACAATAAATAAGGCTTCACCCACCTATTCCTCCAACACCTCACTAATAATACTTTCCTTCTCTTGACATTATGTGGGTGATTTGCTTTCACATGGCCACGCCCCAGCTGCGTGATGCCTCTCCTGCACTCCTACTGTCCACAGCCCAGTGTGCGCAGGCCATCAGCTCGGCAGCACGTCCCGGCAACAGGTAAGGTCCCATCACAGCCGCTCTGTCTCTGTGCACCGTGGGGAAACTGCAGCCTGTGACACAGTGCATGCCTGCAGCTCACCCGTCTCCTGTCTCATCACTTCAGCTTGACTTTTTTTTTTTTTTATGAAAAGTGCTTTTGAAAAACTCATGCATGCTTTTACAGGACAACAGAAATTATAATGATATGATTGGTGAGTTTTTTTTGTATTGGATTATGAAGTGTTTATTGACTGTTGACATTTTTTATAACTAAAATATATATATATTTTTAATTGAGATGATGTATACAAACGAGTTTATCCACAAACAGTAGGTCTGCCTGCTATATTTCAGGAAATGTCAAACTGTAAAAAGTAAAGGTGACTTTGAAATGCTGTCTACAAATTGTAGGCAAATTAAATCCACTCAAACTTTGCTATGAGGGGTAACTGAGTTACAAAACAGAGTTTGATCTTTCTGAAAGAATGCTTAATTATGTCAAAGTAAGAAAAAGAAACACAAGGACGAATCTATCGTCTAGTAATAAAATGTAGAATATCCGTTTCAAGTCCATACGTTTCATTTAAGTATTGAATTAGTTTGACATGTCATGCTGTGAGCTACAGCACAGAACATATTATAAAATAAACACCAAAAGGGAATGAAGTTATTATAGAATCTGTAAATTGAGCTTTTTATATATTTATCATCGAGAATAATTTCTTGATCATTCTTTAAGATGAGAACCAGACAAATATAAAGAGGTTTTCATGGTACTTTCTTTTTTAAATAATATATACATGGAGCCGTTTGTTGTGCGTGGTCTATTGCTGTCAGAGGCTATAATTTACCTTTCATGGTTATCAGACAGTCGTTCTTTTTATCCTTTGTGTTATCCATCATTACAACCCCAAGATGAAATGATACAAAAAAAGCACTCCCTTATTAAAGAAGATCAAGGATTTCTTCTGCGTCTTTTTTTTTTTTTTTTTTTACAGAACAGAGCTACTTGCGATTTATGTAGGCTTCATTGACTTTCTATCATAAATAACAGTAATTCTACATTTGCTTTTTAATGTGGTAATTTTAAGTTACAAAAGTGAAATTTCCTAACATGCAGAATCACCTGTAAATGTTGTGTATAGATTAATTTACCTGAAACAATTTAACAAATGAATAATATACTTTATTTTTGCTATGAATCCAAGGAATAAAGAGACATTACTGTTTAAATTGAATGTCACTGTTCAGAAATAGGCATGGAATAATGTATATGCAAAGATTGTTTTATTAAAAGTGTAAAAGAAAATACACAATATAAGAATGCACATACAGGATTTAAGAATAATGAATGGCCAAAGCACATTTTATATTAAAATGTTTTTTCATTATGTATGATTTTTACTATCTTCTATTTTTCTCTCTTTTCAGATTCTTGCATTTTAAATAACTCTGGTTGTGCAACGTGTGTAGCCGAAGACAGTTTTTCTCATCGAGCATGAACCTCAGTCTCCCCGACCAGACCATGCACAACTCCAGTGAAGGCTGCCTCGAGGACGACAAACCTGATGTCATGTTGCCTTGCTTCCGCAGAAACATGTACGACGAGCCTCTGGCCTCATACTCCAGCGGATCCATCATCTCTCAACTCCTTCGCAAGACAATCCACAACAAGAGGGCACTAGATGAAAGCCATTTCTACCTTTCAGGCTCCGCTGCGGCTGACTCCAGCCAGGAGGACCAGTGCAGCGTATCCTCAAAAGACAGCACTGTGGAAGCTGCCTCCCCCGGCGCTCATGTTCCCACAGGAGCCGGCACGGAGGTGGAGCATCCCATGGCTGACCACCTGCAGGCCAAGAGGGCCAGAGTGGAGAACATTATCAGGGTCATGGCGGGCTCTCCCAACAGCCGGCAGCCTGGAGACAGCGAGAGGTGTGACACAGATGCCAGAGACACCAGAGAGGCCAGAGAAGCATACAGGGAGAACAAACGTAAACAGCGGTTGCCTCAGCATCAGGAACACAGTGTTGGAGGGCCGGCAAACAGAAGACCCGGAAGCAGCAGCAATAGTGATAACTGCAACAAGGATGAGGAGTGTCACAAGCTGAAGGAGCAGTTGCACAGCATGCAGAGGCTGCTGCGCCAGCTCCAGGAAAAGTTCCTGCATGTTTACAACCAGGAGGACCCTGAAAACAACGACAGAGATGACACAGAAGGTGTGGAGCATGAAAGCACAGAGTCACGGTATGTAAGCACTGAAGATGATTTTGAAAGGAAGAATAGCAGGGTGACTGCGGAGTGTAAGGACCGAATGAAAGTAGTTGGTTATCTGGTGCAACAGAGGGAGAGTCGGAGCCTGCAGGACACCCTGAAGCAGGAGCTCTCCAGGGCTGTGAATGACTGTGTGGACAGAGTGTTCAAGAAGGCGTCCTCCACAGGGCAGGATCTGTCCCCTCAGCAGCGCATGTGCTCCTCTCCAGAGCTGCAGATAGGTGCAGACAGGAAGCGCCCGCAGGCCGGCTCCTCCCAGGAACAGCCCCAGGCGGAGGAGGCTGCGGTGAAGCCCTGCTCTTTGGAGTATTATGAAAGCTCCGAGGCTCACAGCCCACCGGACCAGACGGAGGCACTGTCACTGGTGGTCCGCAAGCCGCCCGTGACCCCTCTGAGCTCAGTCACCCCGACAGTGAAGAGGCCCTACCCCATGCACCAGAATCCATTTCAGTTCAGCTACAGCACCCCTCTGCACGACAGTCAGATCCTGGAGCATCTTCTTAAGTACGGGCCACATTCCAGTTTCGGGGGTCACCCCTGCATGGCCCCATCCATGGACAGGAACTCCCCAGACTCCGTGGACATGCCCTGGGACGCCATCGCCATGAGGTCCAAGGTGACGTCCAGCCACCTCGCCCACCACGCCCGTGCCTCCGCCCTGGGGGCAGTGACGGTCGACAATCTGTGTCTCCCCCACGTCAAGATCGAGTGCGGAGAACTGCAGAGCATGGCCGACCGAAACCCCTACATGTCACTCAACATATCCTTTTATTTAAAAATAAATATGTGGAGCCAGAGCGGTTTGATTTTCTTTTTAAATGCAGGATTTAGAGCTTTGTTGTGTAATAATGATGATAAAAAAATAGACAATAGATTAAAAAAGAGACACAATTCAGATATTTTAGTTTTTTAGTATTTTTTTAGTATTGGGTAAATACAAAACAAATATTCTAGAAAGATTACGTTTCTTTATATATAATTTAATAATTCTAAAACAATTGACAGAATTGACAATGAAAAGCAACACCAGATCATTCTGTACCATTCCCCATACAGCAGGGTGTGTGTGTTATTATCTTATACTGTATTTACCTCCTTCATTTCATACAAACTCCCTATATGTTAGCTCTTCCATTTGAACAATGGCTGGTTGAGGTTCATTGCAGCATGGGCAGTTCCAGTAACAAACTTCAAGGAGAATTTTTTCTTTGATCTCGCTAACCCCATAGAAAATTACAGCATCTTCTTTAATCTGAGCAGAGTAATGACTTTAAGTTTAGAAAAAGACAAATAAAAAGGAATACAAGGCTTTGATAAGAATTGCCAGGAACAAAAGCCAATTTTTCAAAGGCAGAGAAAGCATCGGTTTCTGTTTCAGGAAGCGTCATTTTTTCAGACTTGAAAAGGTGCAGGATCTATTTCTCCATCATCAGAGTGATAGGGGTGCATCTAAAAGGTCACATCTGAGTGCTGCTGGAAAGCAAAAGTGCCTCACAACCACCACACTTGAGCTCTTGTCTTGAGCATTTGTTGTTGGATACCTTTGTCAGAGTGTACATGATTGAAACAGAGTGCAAGATAACAGTTTTTCTTAGCCTTAAAGGAACTCATAGAAAATCCATCTAGGATAAGATGTTTAATTCAGGGAAAATGGGTTTATTGTTTTTTTAATGATGTGTTTGCTGACATCCACAATCTAAATGATGAATGATGAAATGTAACTTCTACATTTCATTATCCTTTGCCTAAGAAATAAATAATTTCGTTACAATCCGTCTTTATAAAGTAAATCATTTTAAAATAGTCAGAGAAGTGTTGTTGATTCTCTTGTCGCACGGCATAAGAGAGGAATATAATGTAGTGCCTGTCAGGATTCGCTTTATCTTTACAGAGCAAAGAGCTCTGCTTCTCTTTGAACAATACCACATAAATCTTTCATCTTAACTTCCGTATTTCAAAGCAAGGGTTCCCCTAATAAATGTATTGTGTGGTGACCTGATAAGGAAATATTATGTCCTAAGGCATGGTGGTGGACTACAGAGGATATGCTCCTGACCATCTTCATTGCCATAGGGGGTATACTTGAGAAGATATTGAATTATTTATCATAAGAAATAAAGGAAATGTATATATTTATATATATTGCAATTTTTACCATTCAAAACGTGTACAATTAAAGCCTAACACATCAACTCAAAAACATTTTTATTAAAACATACTACTAAAATACTTAAAAATGTGATTTGTGATATTGGGCTATATAAATACTTTTGAATTTGAACTACATGTAATTTAAATTTTGTTTAAAAAATTTCCATTTTTTTGGCGTGTTTCTTTCCAAAGTAAAACAAATATAGCACCATATGTCGTCTTTTAAATCAACTTAATTATATCCGAAAACCGGCTTCTTTTTTCAAAACATTTCAAAACAAGCTGTCTTTACTGCCAGGCATGAAGTGCTTCGCTCTCTAATTAAAAATCCCTAATCTAATTGGTAATTCTGTTTTGCCAATAAGCACATGTTAGGGTCATTATTGACTCCCTGGTTAATGCCGAGCTGTTCTTTAGGGAAATTCAATTTAGCTGAAGATTGAGGCAACACAATACTCTGGTCTGCTATCACTTTGCATAGGACTGCATGCTGTGTTGTATTTAATTGTCAGGTTTTTTGCCTTAACGTTAATGTGAACATCCAGGAGGGTCTCACCCCGAGCCATCTGAAGAAGGCCAAGCTGATGTTCTTCTACACCCGCTACCCCAGCTCCAATGTGCTGAAAAATTTCTTCCCTGATGTCAAGGTAATTACATTTGAACTATAATGTGTCAAACAAGTTGCAGGATTGTTTGTCCTGCGTTAAACTCCCCGGTATCTACTTGTCAGTGTGTGTTTGGGACAGAAAAATCAGCAGTGTGTCGGAGGAGAGAAACAAAAACGCAGAGGGTTTAAATAACAAAGCCACTGAGCTGCTAGTATGTCCTGGGGGCAGAGGGAGATACAGGGGCATTCTCTCTTTAAAAAAAGCCACTCCAGTCAGCAAATGGAGTGACAAAGGACTCTGTAGGCAAGGCATTGCTATTGAGTGTCAACAGAGAGTTGGTATTAGAGACTTGTGCGGCAGCACCCAGGCGGCGATGAGCTGGGCCTAAACACAACATCCTGTGTGTTTTGGCCTTGGGCTCGTGTCATGCCTCCTCCTCTTCTATCTCCTCTTTTTGTCTTCTCTCTTGTCTCCTGATCTGTCTCCTGTTGTTAACTCTTCTCATTCATCCTATTTATCTCTGCTTCATTCTTTTCCAATCGGAGCATCCTTCCTGCTTATGTTACAAGCTTACACCCATAACTCCTCTCCTGCCTGCCTTTCAATTTTCTCTGGAGTTTCTGTTCCTTCTCCTCTCTATCTCTATCTTCTCTCTCTGGATCTCTGAGCCAGTGCGGGCCCCTGCCTCTCAATCTGCTCTGACCCCCGGGGTCAGGGGGGAGGATGCTGTTGCTGCAGCCCTGCGAACGTCTCCTCCTTGCTTACAATCCTGTGGTGGGAAGTGGCACTGAACAAAAGAGCACCTAATCCCAGTGTCTGATTCCATCCTATCAACCCGAGTCAATGAGAGGGAAGCTTCCTTCTGTCCTTATGCTGCCGCTTTCTCACCCACCACACCAGAGAGAAGAAGCGTCTTTGATGCCTGCCCAGCCCTTAGGCATTTTTTTTTGTCTTTCTGGATGAGGAGATAGAATAACAGGACTAATGTCAAGACTGAGTTTAGAAATACAGAGCCCTGACAGATGTTTTTTCACCATTGGTGGGAAAAGCTCAGAGCAATTAATGTTGCGTAGAGTGACAGACCATTTGGTGCCATTTTGCCCTACAGGTACCAGTGCAGTCAATTATGGAAAGGGTGGTTAATACCAAAGCGTCAAACGGCCATTTGACTTTTTAATTGAAAAGCATGGAGATTCATATTTTTTTTATTTCTGCATGCTCTCAATGAAGTCTAAATGGAGTTCTGAAATTACAATTTTAATTTATCACTAAAAGGGATGATTTCTGCTTTCATTTGCTTCCTCACTGAGACATCAAAGGTTAGAAAAGCACTTCTGGACTCGTTGGGTTTTATTGTTTAGCTCAAGGACACTTTAGCTGGATAGTTTATTGTCGATGCAGAGGCTTCGGTTGTCAATCGGCTGTAAACTAATCAATGATATTAAGAGACGTATTTGCTCTCTTCATTTCCAGTTCAACCGCTGCATCACCTCTCAGCTGATCAAGTGGTTCAGTAACTTCAGGGAGTTCTACTACATCCAGATGGAGAAGTTTGCCCGCCAGGCCATCGTCGATGGCATCAGTGATATCAAAGACATGACGGTTAGCAGGGACTCGGAGCTGTTCCGGGCGCTGAACATGCACTACAACAAAGCCAATGACTTCCACGTAAGTGTCACTCATTAGTCATTTCTCCTTTATGTTGTGGTTTCAATGGTTTGCATCAAGGTCTGATTTTTAACTCATAAAGTTTGGTTAAAAGAGGTACTGCTCTCATTCTGAAAGTATTCTGTGCGATGGATAAAGGTTTTCTTCAGTCAACTTTCATCTGATAAGAGGTAGCATATTCTGTTTGTTTAATGTCCCCCAGCTAAATGGGTGATGGTGGTAATGGAATTCAGTATAGTACATAAGGGAAAATATATGTTCTAGAAATGTATATTTCAATATTCAATCAATGTGATGCTTTGAAGGCATAAAAAATGGCATTGCCAATCATTAGAAGGATAAAAAAATACAACACACCCACTCCTGGTCTTATATTACAGATATGGGTAATGATGTCTCTGTAAACAGCCAAAACAGCTAGCTTGCCTATGTCTGAAAGACGACAACATCCACCTTTCAGCAAGTCAAAAATTCACAAACTGACATGAAATATAAATTGTTGAATCGTTGTTTCTGTACAGACAAAACAAAAAGATATAACAAAGGGTGCTTACTTGCTATCTACAGACATAGCGAGGCTAGCTACTTCCCCCTGTTTACAGCTTTATGCTAAGCTAAGCTAAGTGGCTGCTTGCTGTTGCTTAATATTCAACAGACATACATCTATTGACTGTATGAATCTAACTTTACCAGCAAGTGAGTAGGCTTATTTTCCCAGAATGTCCAACTATTCCTTTAACACTTTGTAGTTGACACATTTATCCCAGTGGTTAGTACCTGCTGAGGTATGCTCTCCTGTCAGCATGTGGTCACATACTGTATTATCTGACCTGTGTGTCACACTGCACCTGTGGCTGGCCAGCCTTTACAGCCATTATCTAAACTCCAGAGAGATGCTTTATCAAACTGTGGGAAGAGGAAGCCGCAAAATCCGACTAAAACAACTCAGGATTAGAGGACCAGTACGCCTGAGCGAGACTGAGATTGCTACTGATGCGGAATGCTGAGAAAGACGCTGTGGATTCCGAGGGAGAAGGGCCGTTTGGTGGGAAAGGGACGGGACCGTTTTCTTTACCTTGGGACCAAGACATTCCTTTCCCAGGGATGCTTTTGTGTCGGGAGATGAGGGGAAAGAAAAATAACTTATGCCAACTGTTGTGATAACTAGTCAGTGGATGGGAAACATGGGCTGCGGGGCGGGTTTCTCCCAGCATCCCTTGCATCAAGACTTCAATTGTTGATGCGCTTTTTATCCTGCGGTCGTTACACCAACTTAAGCCACATATAATTCTTAATTAAACATAATTATCCCAAGTTTAGCCCTAAATCTAACCTAATGAAAACATTTGTAATCTTCATTTTCAACCATATTTCTTATGGGATTTAAAATCATGCTTTTGTTGACTGGCTCTCACAGCGCTGGATAGAAATCTCACAATGCAGTTTAAGTTCAAGAAAACAAGACTAGCTAATCAAAGAGGCCTCCAAATGAAAGCCAACGATTGCAGCATTGCATTTATTGTATGTGTGCAGAGAACAAAGAGATCAGATCCCTTTCATCAGTTTGAGTGTTTGAAGAATTGCACTACAGGTCTTCATTTGATATGTTTTGGACTTTGAGAGCACTGAAGAAAGCTTGTTCAGTATGCTCATTGCACGAAGTGCTTTTTTCATTATTAGAAGATTTAACAAGATTGATTCAACGTATATGTTTTTTTCCTCTCTCTTAAAGGTTCCAGACAGATTCATGGAGGTTTCTGAGATTACCTTGCATGAGTTTTACAGTGCCATTTCCGCAGCCAAAGATTCAGACCCCTCATGGAAAAAGGCCATCTACAAGGTGATCTGTAAACTGGACAGCGACGTCCCGGAAGAGTTCAAGACATCTTCTTATTTATAGGCCGAAGTGGGGGATTAGAAAAGTGGAAGAATTGGAGTTGGTCACCTGACAGTATTATTTCATCCTTTATTGTAGTGCATTTTAGTGAGGTGAAATGTAGATGTTGGATAATTAATAATTTTGTAGATCTTAAAAAAACACACATCATTTTAAATATGAATAAGCTTTAGTCTGTAATGCTGTATGTTTAAAAAAAAAGAGAAAGAAATAATCTACAAACATGATGGCTCTTTATTCTATTGTTTAGTGTTTACTCTGTATGATCTGCCTCAACACATTTAAGGAATTTGTAGGTGTGTACAAATGTTTACAGAGTGCTTCCATTCTTTTTCAATATTATAAAACGATATAGTAGCCTGTTTAGCTGACCTAGAAGACTTTTTTGGCAATTACCGTCAGTATTAGTTTGCTTTTGACTCCTGGCTGTGTGTGTTTTGTAAATGTACATGCGCTACAGTTGAGTGCTGCATATTGTTATCTTTTATCTTGACAGAATGCGCATGTGAAAAATAATGCTGTTTTGGTTTAATTATGTATAAAAAGGTCATGTAAAGTACAATCATTTTCAGATATTTCATTCACAGACAATGTACTGGATGATTATTGAAATAAAAAATGCACTAAATTATAGAATATAAACTGTGTGATTATTTTCATTGCACATATTTAAAAAAAAAAAGAGACACACACAGGTAAATGCTTTGTTTTTCCAATTGTAAACGTTGAACTCTCCCTATGACAATACTGCGAGCCACTGTCGAGCCCCTAAGGTGCCTCTAATCCACGTCCAGCAGCCAGCTGTTAAATGTCCCCCAAACTATGCCGTTCACATTGTCCACTGAAGCCAATTCAAGTCAACTTTCTAAGGCCTGCATTCATTGTGCGGCCACTGCGGATGCGGACAACTGCCATGTCTTAAAAACAGCCACAATGCATTCCCTCCTAATGACTAACGCCCGAGGTGACCTCATATCAGTTGTGCCACCAAAGCAAAATTCCACAAACCCGTTGACTTTTTCTTCCAGGCACCGACTCAAAGCACGGCGGCGACCGAAAACACACGCAAAAGCACACGCACATGCAAGTATGGTGATGTCCCAAAAATCACAGATGGGCTATTTTGGATGACATGGGCTCAATATAAACCACAGCAGGGAATACAATGGGATAAATAAATGTCATAACTAATTGTTTATTTTACTTTAACGGTGAAGTATTTGGCACATCCATACAGATTATTGTACATTTACAGCCAATTCATTTTAAAGCAACAAGGTGCCTTTAAAAAAAATAAAAGGAAAGCTGCACAACAGAAAGGACCACTTTAATAAAACTACACTTTTTCTTATCACAGCGTGAGATTACATTGTCAGTGCGCAAAACCCAACATTTAATAGGAAAACCAATTAGGCACCCAAGCACCAATTACATCAAAAATGATAACATTAAGGAAATTAAAACATTAGTTGAATTGGTTGATGACAAAGACTGGAGACAATAAACCTAACTAATCTTTTAATAGATATTTCTTTTCAATTAGATCTGTCTTCTTCTTCAGTAAATTGATTTACATTCTCAACTGAATTAAAACGCCTCTGGTTGAACCAAAGTGCTTCGCTCAAATTAATTTGTTGTGTAACATTTTCTGAACAAGACTTGGTAACCTCTGATAAAATGAAGTTTTTCCTTCAGTTTGTTTAACTGCCTCTGGCTGACAAGGCTTCAACTTAAACGCTGCGATATGAAATTATGTTCTGTATTAGAGAGGCGCAGATAAAAAGCGGCATTCTGTGTAATGAAGAGGAAATGAAAAGCAAAAGGCAACAGGACGTCACAGAATTCAAACACTGTCGGAAGAGATGTCTTTGTGCTTTGCTTTCAATATATAAAAAAAGGCACATTTCTAAAGAAAAATACTGATTATAATAAAGCGGTAGTGTTCTCAGTCTCACGCTGAAAGAGACTAAATAAAGAGCATTTCAAATCAGTCTCTTAGTTCTTGGAGATGGATGCAGAGAAAAGAGTAACAGCATCATCTAGTGAATCTCTTCTGTAATACACACAGCACAGCTCGCCTCAAACATAATTCACTCATTTCTCTCACACAGTCTTCTTTAGTGTTCAGAAGAATATATATATGTTTTACATTGTAGCCAATCACAAGTCATTTAATAATTACAAATAATAATATCCTGCTTTTAAATTGTGTTAGCTGTAATTTGGCTCTTCATAGTGTGTATTTGCCAGAGTCAACAGATGTTTATCTTTTACGTTCAACTTGTATATATTACCTTTTGGTTCCGTTTTATATTCTATATTTATTATTTTGAGATGTTTATATTTTACATTTGTTTATTTTCTACTTTTCAAATGATGTGCAATGGCTTGTTTTAGCATGCTGCTGTAACGAATACAAATCCCAATTTAGGATCAATAAAGTATATCTTCACTATAAATCAGTATTTTAGGCCATTCAATATTCATCATATTCTGTGTACAAAAGTGTCCACATAGGGGTGCCCTTGTCACTGTGTAGAAACTGATCCTCTGCTAAGGGATTCTTCAACACTGCTCAGTTATTTCCTCACAGCAAGGACTTCAGGGAAACAGCCACTGTGAAATTTGTTATAATTTCAAACATTGCATTTGAGATATTTGTGGGTTAAGAAAGCATGGCTGATCGCGTACAGTGAGTATATTTGTGTGCTATGAAATTAATGGGAAATTGTCTCCTTAGCAGGGTCCTGGAAAGACAAAGACAGGATCAGACACCCCTGAGCTGGAGACAAAAGCAGCCGGGGGACCGGGGGCACTGGGACAGACCCTCTGGTTAATCTCCTGCTCATAGATACAGGCTTTTTTGTCAGGCTCACTCTGGGAGGGCGCAGGGAGCAATAGGGAGTGCAACTTGAGAATGGAGGCCGCTGACTTTAGGCTGCCCTTCAGACAACCACTTCTTGGTGTAGTTTGGTGTGATCACCAGTAAATCTTTATTAATTTTAATTGGAGCCCCCATTTAAAAGAGCAATTAAAGCGGATTAATCGAGCCCATCCCGTATAATGTCTTCTGTTAATTAGTTTGTCAGCACTGTTTTAATATCGCTTAATGACTTCATATTTCAGGGATGACATTAAAGGGATGCTGAAGGAAAAGAAATGGCCTTATCACAATGCACTGCTTTAATGGGAGATGTCCCCCGCCAGCGGGCAAGGTCAGGCCCGGGGCCGCTGGGGAGGAAGAGGCTTCAGGGTGGCACTGAGGCAGCCACCTCCAGGGATACTGCCTCACACACAGGCAGTGTTGTACACACACGTCCCCTTATTTACTGAGTCTACAAATCCGTGTGGTAAAGGGGTGAATGGAAAAGTGTGGATTATTGCAAGAGTGTTTGCGCTCTTTTGCCATGTATAGATTGGAGAAAAGATGGGAAAGTTTAGGGGAAATAGATGAAGACTAAAAGCCTCCAAACTCTAAGGTCAGACACATATTGCACCACAGACAACAAGCTACAGATACTGCATGTCATTCAAAATCATAATATCTTAAAGGGTCAGTGTCATGGCCATTTTTACTGATCATAATTCCATTGTTGAGGTATGCAAAAGTAGATGTATACTGTGCAATTTTCCAAACTCACATTGGTTTCTCAAACAGCATCTCTGTAAAGTATGTGTATTCACTCTCTGTCCTAAACGGCTTGTTGGAGCTCCTGCCCCCCCCCCTCCCTGTGAGCCCAGTGTGCTCTGATTGGTCGGGACGTTGAGAGGCTCGTTGCTGCGAGGAGCGGACAGGTTTCCGGGTCGGCGATACAGCGAGACACAGCTAAACTCATCCTGAGCACACACAAACACTCACAGCCGAAGTAAAAACAATAAGTGTGGCTTGATAATGAGTAAGAAAAAGGTTTATAACGCTGTGAGCATGGGTCTGTGGAGAGCATTTCTCCGCGATCCCAACTTAGTAGCCCGAAAAACGTTTATCCATTCAAACAGTCGTGGTAGATACCTTGTTTTTTTTACACATCATAAACAAACAACAATGAATACTTACAGGTTGTGTACCCGAACCTCCCGCTGGTCCAAACAAAGAAGGGACAGCATCGTTCTTCAGTGCCCTACACTGTAAATATCCAGCATGAATCGCTGAAAGGTTTGTGAAGCTTTGTTTCGTGAAATGCTGGCAGAGTGTGTGGCCTCTGGGTATCCCCACGTCACAGTACCCAGGAAGTAAACAATGGAAGATGAGAAATGTCCAACGAGGCGTTTTGGGGCAGCATAGACTGTGTTACGGCCCGTCCACACTACAGCTTCGACAGCTTCAAAAACGGTTTCCAACGCGTCTGCCCATTCACTTTGAATGCGGTGACGTCACGTTGCCTCGCTTTTCGCCGAACTGAATTGTGGGTAGCAGAGCGGAGCTTTCCTGGCGTTTCAGGCTGCAAAAGTTGAGCAATGTTCAACTTTTGAAGCTTCTGAAGCTTTCGGTGGAAGCGTCAGCCAATCAAATCATATGCCAGTACAAGCTCTCGCCAATCAAACCGCTGCTTGTGTGTCAGGGGCGGGAGATTCATGTGATTGGTTGTTGGTCGAGCTTCAGACACGCCCGCCGGCAAGCTTTTTTTGAAGCTGTAGTGTGGACGGGCCGTTAGAGTTTTACTCGCTACAGGGTGTACTTTGAGGGTTTTTGACTTTGCAGACCGTTTACATGCAGAAAAACCTTCATAACACACAAGGGGACGGGTAATAACCGGAAAAGCATGACATGGGACCTTTAATATCTGAATGACACCAACAGCAGTGGTTTCCGAAGTGGGGTACAATAAAAAGTGCTGCAATATTTGTATCATTTCTATTTTCTACATTGTAAACTTGTTTTGGGGGGGCAATTTCATCTTTATTTGACAGGGGAATAAAGATAATTAAAGATATGATGAGCACCCAAGGCCGGAATCGAGCCCAGGACATTGTGCTTGTATGGCACAGTACAGATTTGAATAATGACAGATTTTTGCCACTTGTTTCTATAGTCGATTTCACAATCCGTGGCTAATGTTGTGTCCATCTGTTTTCCTCTTTATGTTTTGTTTTAAAATCATTCTATTTAAATAGTAGAAAACAGCCGAGTTCTTTTTTTTTTTTTAAATGTCCTTATTTACTCTACTCATTATTGATGTTGGCTCTTACATTTTGAATTTTTTCATTGCTGTTTTTTGTTTATCAAGTTCATTTAAATAGATTTGAACAGATATGCATGATGTCATTTGAGGTGTATAGGGTGCATGTGTTGGATGGGAAAGAGGAGGAAAAAACCCTTAGAAATGGGTTTTCAGGGTCCAAAACTATTGGTAGCCACTGCAAACAAACAAAAGCCGAATGTCTACAGATACAAAATTCCTCTAAAGTGTTTACTAAATATAGGTAGAGCATTAAAATACTTTAAACGGTAGAGTTTACTCCTTTTTCTTGATACACCAGATGTTTGACAGAAGCACAGAACAGAAACTGCTCCTCTGTTGGATGTTAACAAAGTTCATCTCTTTTAAACAGAGATTTGATGTACTGTATCAGTGCTTCACATCGTGCCTGCACATTAGCCCAAGATGCTCCC